CGTCTTCTTCGTTGGATAACTCCTCTCCCGGGGCATCATGGGATAGTGAAGTGTCCATCGTATGCACACTGCAAAATCCAACCGGAAGCAGTAGGTCATCCGGGTACTTTTCGCCTACTGTTTTTGGAATACTACGAATCCGGACATACTACTCGCCTCGCCTACTGCTTTTCGCCTACTATACAGTATGGTAGTAGGCGGTTTCGGACGCAGCCACAGGCAGTATTGCATGAATTCAGCTTAAGCAGTATTTAATCAGAGCATGATATTTTATTTTATTGCATTTTTGCATGCATATGATAAAATAAATTTAGATAAGGGCCAATCACAAAATCTCCCAGCCTTAGCCAATCAGAAAATTGGATTGTGTCTCCTCCCTGTAAATCAAATTTTGACTGCACCACTGCATAGGGGGCAAAAGAGCACAAGCTGGCACACATTTTTCTGACTTTACTCTCTGTATGTGGACATCTTCTGAAACTTAGACAGATCATTCTTTAGGATGAAAGGAGCATATCTTAGCATTTTCTTTGTGTGGACCACCCAAAAGGTCCACACAAGAAAGGTGTTCCGTCAGGGGTTGGTTCACACAAGTATATAAAGATAAAGATAAAGATAAACCCACACACACCAAAAACAAGAACACTAGGAAGTCTGCACGTGCGTCAAGATCTTTCCAATGGGGGGAAGCTGCCTATAAAGGGGTGAAAACAGGTGAAACCAATGAGTGCTGATTAAAGTAAAAAGTCTGAAACTAAGACAAAACAGAAACAGGAAGTAATGTCAAAATAAAAGTATGAGAACGAAAGCCAATGGGACATCATGACAGTTTGCTAATGTTTCATTCACCAGCGGCAAATTGAATATTTTATACTGTGCAATATTAAATGTATAAAGCAAATATGAACATACATATTTACACTGTTATTAAAAAATCTAAAATATTAGTGCACATTAGGTGTGCACAGTAACAGCAACAATGAAGCGAACACATCTGTGCAAAATAAAAATAATGTCAGTGCACCAGCTTCATGTGTTCACAACCATTCAACATTCCTATGATCTGCCATTACTGTAAAAAAGTCCTAATAGAGTCAGTGGAGATGTTATCACTCTCCTTCTTAATTCACTCTGCCTTAATCATTATAAACAAACAAATACATACAGTATGTGGGTAGACATAAAGGATGTATTTTCTGGTGAAATAATAATCTGTTAGTTAAATATATGATAATCCAACATAAATCCTCCTGTTGTTTGGAATCTATGTCTTTGTTAGACACCTCATCACCCTCATCACATTTTAACTCTGCTTCTCTTCTTCTCTTTGTCCTCTTGCAGGAGTGTGCCTGGTGCTGGGTTGCATGATCTTCCCTGATGGATGGGATGCTGAGGTGATCCGGGACATGTGTGGGGAGCAGACGGGGAAATACTCTCTGGGCGACTGCTCTGTACGCTGGGCCTATATGCTGGCCATCATGGGCATCCTGGATGCCCTCATCCTCTCCTTCCTGGCCTTCGTCCTGGGCAACCGACAGACAGACCTTTATCTTGATGATTTGCAGACAGACAATAAAGGTAAGAAGAAATGCAATGTTTAAAAAGTAGTAATGGCTTTAATATGATATCTCTTTTTTTGGCTGTTCATAATTTACCAGGTCAGTTCAGTTATTATTATCTTTTTTAATGTTTGGTTGGGTTGTTTCAGTATTTTCATGTTACATTTTTTATGTAACCTCAAATAATAACAAAGTTAGCTGATGAAATGCTGCTTGGCTTTGGGAGTAATACTAGGTTTCTTGTTGCTATGCTAATGTTAAAAAAACAACTTACTATAGGCCCAGACCACACAAAAACTTAATGTAATCCATTCATTATAATAAGGCTCCTGTGTTTTTGGTTGAGATAAAGACACCATCCTTAAAAAGTGACGGTGTATTTTGGGGTACAGTTCCCTACCAGCTACTACTGGGGGAGGCGACAGTGGTGCGGTGGGTAGAGCAGCTTTCCCAACCAGAAGGTTGAATGTTCAAATCTCGGTGCCGACGTGCCCCCCCCCCCCCAATGATTAGAGCTGTTGGTTGAGTTGGCACAGATGGCTGCCATCGGTTCTGTACCGGAAGCAAATTCTTTGTGTATAACATACTTGGCCAATAAAGGTGATTATCCTTACTATACGTCTAGTCCCACCAGCCTGTACAATGCAGGCTGCTGCAATCATTTGCATTTTTGACTTTGTTGGCTGCTTATATACAATGTAAATGTGGTCTTTAAAACCACATTGCAGTAACGCCTGAATAGAAAATATAAATTAAAACAATAGAAAAAGAGCATACAGTAGTGTATAATACAGTAACGCGGTGCCTCTAATGATGACTACACTTTAACCTTATTTCAGTAACTCCAGACAAATTGCTTTCAGTGCTGTAGACAAGAGTGGGAGAGAGTCCTCCAGAGGGTTTCTAACAGTTTGCATTATGTTGCATCAGGACAGTCAATCACATTGTTTCAGCTGTATGAAAAGAGAGGAAGAGGAGGAAAGGAACAGTAGAAGAGGGTGACTGAGATGCAAGAGTAAAAGAAATACAATACAATACAAAACAATAACCACTTTCCTCACATTATGGTGGTGTTTCATTTGACTCCATAAACCCCAAGTATGACAACAAATGGAAACAAAAAGTGAAAGAGAGGGAGAAAGAAAGAGAGAGATGAATAAACAGAGCAGGATAAAGGAGAGAGAAGGGGTAAGAGGAAGACACTGAAATATAAAGAGAGAAAATAGTGACATAAGATGCCTTGGGTCTCCATGATGGTTTCTATGGTAACTGGAGATATTCCAGGACGTGGGTGTGTCTTTCTGTTCTTGTCTGATTAACCCCCTGACAGTCTCAGTGATTTTGTACATTTAATGCTAATCTAATGCTTCATCAGCTATGCGAAGTTTCCTTTTCTCGCTATTATACTGTAGAAAGAAATGTCCTTCTAGCTTCTTTACATTAACTAATAGGACCAAAACTGTGACAGCCCATGCACAGTGAAAGCATTTGTTATCCAAATAATGACAAAAATCAAAAAGGAACCTTCCCAAAATATTGTGGTTTATATTAGGAGATATAAAATATGACCAATTTTACTGCACTAAGACACTACAAGTCGAAATATATAAACTACAACTCTCACAAAACAACAACAGCAGGGGAATAACCTGGATAGAGGTGGCAAATTGCTCTATCATTAAGTGATAGCCTAATGCTTAACTCATGCTTAGATAAGCATATTCCTGTATTGCACAAATATGCAGTTTTTCTGGTCTTGCCAACACTTTTGTTCTTTTCCATCCTTGCAGATTTTCCTGTGTCGAGGGTAAGTTGATTTTTGCTTTATACACTTCATATGCATTATGCTTGAGGTATACATTACACAAGCCTGTGTAAAGCCTTGTTAGCGATCCACTATTGAACAGTGAAAAGCAAGGCCCAGTCTCATTAGCTCATTAGCGGACAGTGGTATTGATCAACAATCAAACACCCAACAGAATGATTGGTGACTTATTTCAAGGGACTGTAATACCTGTAAGGCTATCAATATGCTCCTCCCTACCCTATACCCATTAACCATATGTCATATATACTGTAACATGCTGTATATAAACCAATATGAGTTTTAACTAAAATAACATAAACCAAACAAAAATCATCACAAGTCCAGTGTTTTATGTTGCTCAGACAAATGTTGAACAAATGCTGAATGCAAAAATAAAGTAGACTGACTGGTTAAATCAATTTTTTATTTAGTTTAAAAGTCAAATTAGTTTACATGTTAGACATTCATGGACACCCAACACCCACAAATGACATCATGGGTTTGTTCTGTTTTTTTGTTTTCCTCTTGTGATCAGGTGGAGTTTTCAATATCTTTGTTAGCCATGAAACTTTCTTGTCACATTTTGTAGTTGTCCCTGATGTGGAACAGTAAATATTCTTCATCCACAAAGGCATAACATCACTATTTTTCAGTGTGCAGTCGGATTTTAGTTCGGCTCAGGTCCAGTGATCTCAGAATGTGTTTGGGGCAGAGGTGTAGGGCCATCTCTTTTGAGTTCTGTTAACATTTACAAATCTTTCCATCTCTTGCTCCAGTGGTTGCTTTTCCTATGTCTGTGCACCTGGAAAATGTAAGTTGGAACGTGCATTGCATTGCTATAACAACTTGTTCCCTTAAGCTATCATCACCAGTCCAGACTTTGACATAATTGTATATTTAGTAGCCTTTTTAATATGGTGATGTTGCCTGACTGTGTATTATAAAATGTACTGTAAGAAAAAAAAGCTTGTACTGTAGCAACCTCGGTCCATTTTTAAATTACTACATGGGTGTTCCAGTGCCACTTTGGGATCCCCTGCTCTCTTGATGCACTATCGCATTTCCATAAAGTTGGGGCCCTGCAGCTGTTAGGGTGATTTTCATTTTTAGATAGAAATGAATAATTAGTTAGGATTTTTATTATATAGCATATAGCATATATTTTAATCTCACAGTTGTGTTTATGTTTATTTAGTTACATATCTATATATCACCCTATATGTTTACTGAATCACTGGTCAGTATTTACTATGTAAGCCAACTGGAGCACTGTTTAACATCAAGGGAGACTGGTTTGCTAAAACACTAAAAACTCATTAGATTTACAGCCTAGCAAAGAGGGTCCACAGTTACTTTATTACCACCACTTGGCTAATAGGTCGGGGGAGCTATAGTTTAGTGGAGTTGGAACAGAGATTAGAACTAAAAGCCAGGAAGAGGAGCCACTTCAAAAGACAGGGTAACACAGAGACACACCAAGGCAGAGAAGCTTTATTGGAACAGGGGGGTAGTGCCTAAAAGTCTTTTGGAAACAAAGGAAGACATAAGTGTCTATCTAGGAATTAAGACAGGGCAGGTATTCCTCCCTTTTTAGGGTGCTGTCTACAGCCATTGGAGCAGAGAGGATGATTGGAGGATGGACGGACTGAAGGACCAATCTTGGGAGAATTAAGTTTAATCCACAATTGCTCCCCAACAGTTTTGGACCAATCAGAAAGCAACATCTTTTTCCTATAAGTGTTGTATACCGCTAAGTTGAAGTTAGTCTTTTCTGTTTATCCTAAACAGAAGGGATCCATGTGCACATGCTTATTTAGATATGTTAATGCATAATAAATTTCATATAGAGAAATATATCGTTTTATTAGTCTTCTCTTTTCCAAATAAATTGACTTTTTCTCACACAGCCGACAGATTAACAAAAAAAAAAGATCAAAAGTGATGCCACGAAGACTTCCTGACCTTTACCATCTAGAATAGTCCGTGTTCCTTTTGCACCACATCCTACGATACAACTCTTTTTTGTTTGACTTTCCCTGCCTGTTAAACACCCACATTTTTTAGACTCCACTCCAACAGTTTGAAACAGAGGCTGTGTGTAAAAAGGCTGAGATAATCCTGATCACATCACTCTGGTTATCTTCTTAGACTTGGCTCCTACAGAGCCACAAACAACCCTGAACAGTTGTTTTCACTGAGTAGCTCTCAAGTTGTAAATTGATATTGAAGTGTAAGAAGAAATACACCATGTATTTCTTCTTTAAATCTTAATTAAGATGTCTTAAATGTTTATTCGTGAAGTTTAATTTGTACTACCTGGTCTCTAAATCAGTACAATAAGAATCGTCTGTCTTGTTTTCTTCAGATTGAGGTTCGGGACAGAAGAGAGCCACGGTATGGAGTGCAGCGTCTTCACTGAGAGCAACCATGGCACTGGACAACTCTCCTCTCCTCTCTTCTTCTCTCCTCTTTTCTCTCTCCTCTTCTCTCTTCTCCTCTCCTCTACAATGATCAGGATATCACTCAATCTCAATGCAGACACCAAGTGTACAGGATTCTGTAAGATAAACAACAAAAACAACAACAACAACAACACCACACACTGGGATAAACTATATTTTGAAAAAAAAATTATACAAGGTTGTACAGTGCATTTAACACTCACCTTTCTCAATGAATACCTTTATGATAAAGAAAAAAGATTTACTCTATATAAAGTCTTGGTTTGTGTTACAAATTCAATCCTTAAGATGAAGAACCATAATGTCCATCTATTATTTTGCACTGGTTTATTTAAATTCTTGCAGTTTAATGACTTTGAGTTTGTGTTGTGTACATTCATAGCTTCACAATGCAGATTATTGATACTCTTTGTACAGTGATAGGAGCAGCTCCATTGTTACACATTCACAACACTTCGACAGGGACTTGTATGGCTCTTCATCTAAGGACTTGAGAAGTATGAGGTAGATATGAGGAATTTTAAGGAGTACCCCATTGCAGCTTTACAGAACCTAACATCTCTGGGAGATTCTCTACTGTACATACTGAACGATGTAAATAGCATTACTGACGAAAACAGCCGACAACAAAACCTCATCTGACTCTAATGCATTCAAGCATAATATTTTTACCCTTGGTTTCAGTGTTGCTCATGCTGGAAGAGCATTGGAGTATGTGCAAAATCTATTGTGTTTAGATGACTCCTCACCTCTGATTACATAAACAATGGGAATAAAATGGATATCTTCACAGGATATTCTACAGAAAAGCAGAGCACTGTGTATGAACACAATTCTGACGCAGAAAAAAAGACTTCTCCTGAATCGACATGGCCTAAAAACAAGCCCCTTACTGTAGTATTTCACCCTACACTATATAGTGACAATATAAATCACTGAAGTGAATTGCAGTCCAAGTCAGACTTCAAAATCTTTTTTTTTTTTTTTTTTTTGCTGAGTTCACTACTTTGTAAAACCCTTTCTCCAGTGTGCAGTTTACGCCAGTTTATGGTTCCAGAATACAGTGATCAGTTTACTCTACAAATGTCTTAAGAGTGTGTAAACATGGCTGTTTGAGACAGCCTTCTCTCAGAGGGAAGCCCCAAGTGCTGCACTGTCTCAAGGTGATGTCACTTACAGTAAATGCCTCTCATAGTCATCATAAGTGGGACAAAATCACAGTAAATAACCTCAAAATTAAGATGCAAAAGTCCTTTAAAAAAGTACAAAACTTTTTAAAAACATTGCCAGCGTAATATGAGTAGTGGTCAGTAGCATAAGCGGTCACTTGGTGTGCTATCATTTAATCCTTGTGAGGGCTAAGGACATGATTTCAGAAATACTTATTTTAGGAGTCCTCCCAAGACACCACCCACACCTCCTTGGCAAAGTAGCCTAAAAGATTTAATATGCTGGGGCTCATGCAAGCACATTTTAAAACTGTACTGTTTTCGATGAAATTTGACATGTTCCACATCAGATTCAGCATAGTTGTAGTAAATCACACTTTTTTCAACCTGATGAGTGCCAACTGTTCCTGAGGAGGTGTGCACTCATGAGAGTGGTTCATTAGTCTAATCAGCAACCTGTAAAGTGCTACATAAGGTACACTGTAGACAGTTTTCACTCACAAAAATGTCACCAGATGAAAAAAATAGATTTTCATTCCTTAGAGCTTCAAATCCTGTTGTTGCTCATCAAATTTAACAAACACATTTAGCAATTTCAGTAGTTGGATATAATGAGCACAAACAATTATAAAATATTAGCTGCCAACGATGTGTCATCAGAGTAGCGCTGTACTGTGAGGAATGGTTTGACATGACATTAAATGCTAAAAAACTTCTTACTAAAGTAAAGCAGCCCATGATTCAGACGGAAAGGCAATGTGACAGGAGACTAATGAGAGAACATGTCCCCTTCAAGACCTTGAGGCAGCTAAACAAGTAAGCTAGTACTGTTAAGGTTGCCATGAAAAATATGTCAGGCTATAAAAGTCCCACAAGTTATAATAACCTTTCAGCAGACAAATTCTAACTCCCTGGTCTTGATTAAATAAACCTCCAAATTCCCATTAGAAATGCTGATGACTTGATCTCAGTGTCCTCGGTGGTAGCTACTGTCTTGATCATAGAAAAAGTAGCATTATTTATGTAGCATTGTTATCAATACCACCAAAATTTCCATTGCTCCAAACACAGTGTGTCTTGATGTAGCACTGGAAACAATGTCAGTAGTGTCTCTGGTTGTTAAAAACACACCGTTGACATTAATTATTGCTGATACATTTATTATATGACTTTTATGATGTGATCATTGCTACACCAGAAACTTAAAAGTTGTCACCTCCATAGGACGTTTTAAACAGGACAACCCAGAAGTGACACACCTAACTAGTAGTTTGTGTATCATGTTTTCAGTCATATGATCATGTGCTACATAGAACAAAACGTTGGAACCCACAGCATAAATAGGAAATTACCTTCAAACGCATTCATTGGGTTTATGGCACTGCCAGTGTGAAGTCTGTGTCTCATCAGTGTACACATGAGCACAGTTAGGACTTTGAGAAGCTGTAGCCACCTGATATGTTTGCATTAATAACAGAGATTGTCATGATATTAGTGACACTGCTCAAAGTATAACACAAACACGCGATGAGCTGCAGTTGCACAGTACGACGGAGCAGGCTGCTGTAATTCAGAGCACCATGGGACTCTTGTCCCACTCAGAGCAGCACTTCAGGCTGACGTACTGGAAGTGAATGCACCAAACCTGCGTTAAGTCATGGCAGGAATAAGATTAGCTGTGTAATAAAAGCACACGGTTAATTGTTCTCTACAAGTAATTGGCATGTTTTGCCCATGTGGGGGGAAGACATGGTCATGCTGTACACACTGAGAAATAATTGAATCCATGTCACTTAGCAATTCAGCCACATGTTCTGTGAGCAAGCTGCAGATAACAGTTTATCTAACAGGCAACATCACAAGAAGAATACAGTGCAGTGAGGGACTGATTATACTGCACCGTATTTGACTGTAATCCATGTGACACTGTTAGGGATGCACTATTAACACATTCATTGTGGACAAGTCGAAACATTAATTTTAAAGTATCAAACAACACAGCTGTTACAACATTGGAAGAATAAAAAACTGATAATTTTAGTTTACATGTTGCACATGGGTATGGGTTAATAAAAGATACTTAATTTCTGCCTGACAGGGGCTTGGTAGGGCATCTTGAATGGGTTATTGGTGCATCCCTATATACATTTATATATAAAATGAGCAGATAGCTAGATGTGCAGTGTTTTTTAGAACGGTAGCTAGCTAACTCTCAGGAAGCTGTGTACACAGTACTGTATTAAAGGCTCATTATGGAAATGATCACCACACACAAGTCAGATGATGTTCTCACGATGTAGGCATCACCCAAATGATACCTTACTCCACAGCATCCCTTGTCGGTAACATGTACGTTTTGAATAAAATAGCACCACTCCTACTGCTGGGTTTTCCAAGCTGGGCCTTTAAGACAATATGAAAACAGCCCTTATGCTGAATCTAAGGATGCTGTCCATGCAGGCTCTGCACAGACCTTGGCCTACATTGATCAATCGTTTTAGAGTAGGAATACTGGGTCTTCATAGAAGAAAAGTTACTTTCACTTTAACCTTGAAATAACTGTGCAAGTATTTGAAAAAAATATGATAAAAGAACTATAAACAGTATTTAAAGACCTGATTCATTTGGTAATGCAAGAATTATGTTTTTGCTTTTGATATGTCTGTTATTATTTGAGAAAATCAGTGCATTGGCTGAGACATCAGCATGATATTTTTTTTGTGTGTGTATCTAAAGTTTGCATAAAACAGGTGGTAATGTCATTCATGCAGTACATGTTGTGATTTAGACATCTATAGCGTGTATTTCTCATTTGGGAATACTTTCACGGGCCCAGGACATATTGTACGGCAAAATAACAAAGAAAAAAGCCCTGAGGCCAAAGTGGTCATGTCAGGCTTCCAAGCATCCTTACCTGTGTGATCATTGGTCTGGTCTCCTCTGCGGGTACTCTGTTCCTGAGGACTTGACGATGAACTGAAAAATACCTTAACAAAGAACTGACAATACCTTAACCCTGATGAGCACATATTTGTACCACTACAGGTGCCTCTAAGAACTCTTGATTTAATTCAGATGTGGTGCAGAACCAGCAAAACAAGTAGTGACACTGTAGTTTTTTCTACTAAAGACTACATACTTTGAGTGAGCTCTGAAGTTACATAGGTTTTACTGCAGATTTGAGGTCAATTCACTTTCAAGTCAAACTAAAATATTTAGGAATAGTTTACCCCAGTTATTTAAATTAATCTGGGGAAACATTTTGATATTCAGAAGGGAAAAAAAAAACAACAGTCGACTTTCTTTTATTTTCAGTTTGTGATTGGACTCCAAAGCTGAATTCACCTCAGTCTTGAATTGAATCATCTAAAGATGTGAAAAAGAATGAAAAACTAATTGAAGGACAGGAAGTCACTGAGAAGTCATTTCCAGTCTCTAGCAGCAAACATGATGTTTGCTGTCTATGTAAATGTCATTGAAATGTCAATGATTTCATTATCATTTTTAATCATGCAATATCATGTATAAAGGCGTAATGTTAGGGGTGGGTCGGCTCAGGGGGCCAAAGATGAAAACTGTCCGGTGACTTATGTTATGATAATAGTTGATTTTCTGTTAACTCCTGAAATGCAGATGTTGCCAAATACCATCAACTATCATGTGTTAAAAGCAAAATAATCAGTTTTTGTTTTGTATAACAAAAGAATGATATACTGATATTTGTCAAGTACTTCTGATGAAATTTTTGTTTTATGTTAATTACAGAATCTTTCTTTTCTGTTATAAATTACTTTCTATGTATTTGGTACGATGTATGATGATTGTTGTTCTGTCATGCCAGATTTAACATCTTCAGATTCAATTTTGACTCACTAATGGATGACTGCTTGTTGAAATCTCAACATACAAAAATGTATGAAAGTCTGTTTATAAAGTTGATTGATTGTGGACAAGTGGACACAGTCTGGGAGAGGCCTGTTGCTTTTCATGGATTTTGATGATGTGTTGATTTTGATTTGACAATTGGGCCTAATTAATTCCTATTTGTGAATAGTATTCCAAATCACCATGATGAAAATTTCTGTTATTAAAACACATTTTGAGAAGGTCGAATAAAATATTTTACATTCAAAAAAACATCCTGTCTGAGTCAATAATTTCTGGATTTAAAGAGAACCAATAAACACTGCTCTGGTGTATACAGTGGATATATAGCATATTATTTTCTATAATAAAAAGAGGTCCTGATGTGCCATCATTATACACAAAGTTGTGGTTGAAGGAGAACTATTTATATAATTAAGAGCTGAGCAACAGCATCCATTTCTGCTGTACTGTTGAGGATGAGTCACACAACCAAAAATATCACACAAGGCCACTGCACACAGATGCGCACCAAGAGGGTGGCATAGCCTTAGACCGCCTATGACCGAAATTCACAGTTTGTCATTGTATAAGTAGCTGTAATTCATCAGTGGGTTCATCCCCTGTATGGTCTGCTAGCAGAGTTATTTATTGAGGTCTATGTTGTATCCATTTGTCAAGCAGGATGAGACTTCACTTACCACGAGGCTGGCTCCACTACATTACAAAGGGCTACTTTTAGAAACCCATAAAGTTGAACTTCAATTTAAATTTGGAACTGAAATGTAAGCAGGTTAATTCATCAACTGGGACACAAATCAACACAATCAAAGCACTACACAGTAAAGCTTATTCCACATGATACAGTATATTGTTCAAGTGCTGACGTCACACAAACTTTGCAAAGGATGCAAAGGAAACAGGTTATTAGGCCCACCACAGGGCTGCTATTGTTTCTCTATCACAATCTTTTGCAAATCTTCTATTTTAATTTGATTAGGGTATATTTTGCTTTCTGGTTTCTCATTCATGCCCTCCTGAACAGTATGCTGTATAACCAGCCACAATAACCCAGAAACCAGATAGCACTGGATAGCAGCTCTGAGAAGCTCTGTGACACTGTACACTGAGTGCACTTTGCTGACATGCTGATGTTTAACAGATTTAGCAGGTAAGATATGTACTGTGTCCATCATCTCACTTAAGCATTTTAGGCATGCTAACATGCTAAATAGCATGTTAGATTTGTGTTACTACCTATTTAGATTTTTTATTGCTCATCTACTTTATATTTCATTTGTATTGTGTGGCATTCATATGGACGGCAAAGTAAGAAATCATTGTACAGGAAAACACATTTCCTAAATGTGTCTATGACAAATAAACACTTTGACCTTAGACCTTGACCTATACACAAAGTAAAGCTAAAGCTAATGGGAATGGGATCTGTGTCAGTTATCATGTATCACAGCTGCATGTTAGGTATTTTAATGACAGGTACCATTACTGATAGACACTTTGACAACTCCAGGACTACGCTTTCTTTTGGAAATCTTCCTGTTCCCACTTGATTGCGGTTGTACAGTTCACTCTGTAACAGCACAAGTAAATTAGCTAGCTACATCCTCGAACTGTAAATGGTAAAGTACATTATTTGCAAAAGTGTTTAATTAAAAGGCAGGAAAACTGGTGTGCTGTTAATAGACTAGCTTATACAGTATTTGTAAGAAATTTTTAAACAAAGTTAAATAAGATAATATGACCGAAAACAACTGTTACAAAGGCCTGCTGTTAGCTAGCATAAGCTAACATTGCCCACACCACAGAACTTCAGCAACCTGGTCAAATGAACCATTCTTCTTCTTTAGTTTTATTGACAGGCTACAAACCAACTAACATGTTCTAGGTATCTACTCTTATTTGCTGACCAATTCAATAACTGTTCATTTAAATGCCAGAGGTGAATATTTAATAGTAGGTTATTTTGCAATTATTATTAAACGGCAAAATACTGTTCAGTTCATTACACTGTAGCCTACTCTGTGACAGGGTGCAAATGTCAGTGCAAAGAGGCAAAACAAAAAAATATGGGCACATATATACAAAACAACTTAAAGGAGGCACAAAAATCTCTTTTGATCTGTGGGTCTTGCTCTAGTTTAGGAATGTGGGTGCATTTTATATCTCTACCAGCAGTACTACATCTATGCATGTGAGAGAAAACCAGACCACCCAGAAAACCAATAAAGACACACAAAAAAGCATGTCCACACAGAAGTGTGTCCAGCAGTAGGGGCTAAGTTCACACCACAGGAGCTTCTTGCTTTGTGAGCCACCTCTAACAACAGTGAAAGTGTTCCTGTGACTGAAGGGTTGACATGGAGACAGTGGTGGTTTTTAGCTGGAGCCTCTCAGCCACCACAGTCTCTTGATGTCCAGTTTGTTTTATCCTGTCAAAGCATGGCATTTTGACTGGCCAGAAGGTTGCCAGGAAGGAAGGGGCCGACCACACACTGTCCAGAAGGCAGTCACACAACCAAAAATCAGCCTGTGTGTGTATGACAGAGACACTGACACAATAGTTTACATTACAATATACATGTATGCACTCACAAGTGGGAACTTCCTGACCTTGCCCGCAAATATTTAAGGTATTTTTCCAGATGTACAAAATATGTATGTTCTTTCCACTCTCCTTTATCAACTCATCCCAACCGGTCAAGGCAGAAGGCCGCCTACCAAGAGAGGGGTCTTTTGGAGGTTTCTTCCAGTTTTTCCTCCCATCTGTCGCCAAGTGCTTGCTCAAGGGGCATTTGTTGGGTTTTCCTCTTTAAAAATAATGATAATAGTAAGGTCTAGACCTTACTTTGTAAAGTACCCTGAGATGACTTTTGTTGTGATTTGGCGCTATACAAATAAAACTGAATTGAAAAATGTGAGCTACTTTCTTTGCAGTATTGTGGTCGTCATGCTAAACATAGCGCAGCATACAGTACATTACATACAGTTGAAGGCCCAATAAGTCCAGTACAAACCCTGTCACTCTTTTCATTTTCTTGCTCTGTTTGAATGCCAAATATAAAAAACAACAAGTGGGGAAAAAAGTGACACTATGCTACTACAAAATCCTTCTCTTTCCAAAACATAAGCTGTGGTGTTTTTGATGCATTTTTTTATGTTTTAGAATGCAGGTTTGATCATTTTGGCGTAAACCAAATTTCTTTACACAAGAGACAATGTCAGCACAAAGAGTTATATTTTGACAATGTCAGCAGTCACAAAAATAGGTTAAGCTTTAAAAGTCAGCATCTTGTTGCATCAGGATGTTCATGGTGGTGATAGGAACAGGGGAAACTGAAAATATCTACATTTCTAAGAACAAAGTAAAGTGGCGGTGGATGGTAAACTGGCCTATTAAAAGATGCAGGAACCTAAAAAAAGCCTGCTGACAGCTCTACAGCACCCACAGAGTCTTACACAGCAAGTGAGGGCCAAAGGTAATATTTAGGAATGCATGAGTACACAGCCAAACTCCAAACACAACTTGACCTGAAACAAAAGTTGGATGCTGTGAAAAAACCAGGAAACTAAACATGCAGTAATGCTTTCTCTCACTCTGCTCAGGAGAGATGTGAGACTATAAATAGTAGCCACTGTCTACTGGGTCATCACAACAGCTTCACTGCACAGTTAAGAAAGATTTAGTCAAGTGAAAATTTTAATTTAAGAGTCAGAATTAGCTTCAAAGAGATAAGGGAGCAGGTTCTAAAAGTTGATATTTTAGTTTTTTTTTTCTTCACAATGTTACATTCAATAAGCAACATTCATGGATGCTCTCTGTCACTTGTGTTTGTTTTCTGCTTGTCCCTCATCCTTCTGTTGAGCAGCGGATACTCACAAGCCTCTGTATACCACGTAAAAGGTAAGAATTACTTTTATTTCTCTGCAGGATTTCTATTCAAAGTCCCTGGGATGCTAACTTTACCCAGGGAGCAAAAATCAACTCTTTGAGACTTATGTTACCTCTAGCCTTTAAACCAACCTGTACTGCTGACCATATAGCCTAACCCTGCATTCAGCCCCATGGGGATCTTCACATCAGATCAGCATGTTCCTATTGATCCCCTTCTCAAGATGAAAAACGTGCCCCATGAGGACAGCTCTCACAGCCTGCAGGAATTCACTGTGGGTGCTAGGTTTAGCCAGTAATGTGCCTGACCTCTTGAGGCAGGGTTTTATGTACTCTGCTGGAAGGACAGACATTTATAGCCTCTGCAAAGATTCAGTGTAACCCACTGTAACAAGTGCTCCTCTCCAGTCCAGCCTGGAGAGAAGCACTTAGAAATCTGGACACAAAAGAGATAGACATGTCACTGTGCTGCTCATTTTACCCACAGGCATCTGTTTGCACAAAGACAAGTATTACAAACCAGGAGATTCTTTCCGCAGAGGCTGCGACAAGTGCTTCTGTCATGACTTTGGTTTCTACTGCTTTCCGTGAGTAGATTATTCACTTCAGGTCATACTAACTGGTCAGTTCTAATAGCCTAATAAAAACTCTTCTCTTCTCCTTCCCTCCAGGCCAATGAAGCCCACCTCATGGCCCAAGAAGTGTCGTCGGGTCAAGACAGTGTGTGGTTATATGGTCATTTATAAAGAGAACCCGCAGGTGGCGTGCCAAGCTTACAGCTGGATAGGATAATATCCTGGGAGATCTGACTTTACATACAGTATGTCGATCATATGAGTCCATGGGTTCTGGACAACATAGAATTGATAAAAATAAGCTTTAATGAAGACAAGTCGAATCATTATCATACGGTCCTAACTGGAAACAGTGGATAAGAAACCTCCAGCTAAAGGTTAAGTTGTGCTGAGCTATAGATTTCTTAGTCTGTTGCACTTGACTGTTTTATGTGCTTTATTATTAATTTAAAGGCTGCTATGGCACAGTACAACTGAAGCAGAACATAGTTATATGATCTTTTACACTTATTAGGTTCAACATGAATTTAGTGTGAGAATGATAATATTATCTTTTCTGAAAGTCACACCCTAAAGGCTTTGCTTACTAGTTGTGTGTTAGAATATGCACAGAAGCAAAACACTTCATACACAACTATCTGTATGGTTCATGAGATTAGAATTGGTTAGTGAACTGTATTAAAGAAGTGTCACCCATAGTCTGAAGTCTGTTGTATGATTGTTTAAATAACCTGTTGTATTAGGCTACAAAGACAAAAATGGGTCTGAAGCTGAATAAAATTCTATAAAAGATAAAAAATACATGCAGCCTTGAAACTGAGCAGGACAATGAACAATTAAAGAGCAATTTCTGCTGAATTAAATCAAATAGCAAAAACAGAGTATACATGTTTTCCTAGGTTGCAAAATATTTTATTTTTGTATTTTATATGCTCTTCTTGTAAATTTATGGAAACATGTTTTTGGTCACTTGATTAAGATACTGTAAGTCCAGTTACAAATAAAACATCTGTCTCTTAAGCATTATTATGTTCGGCTACTTGTTAATGTCTGTAGTTAAGCATTAGATAGCACAGGAGGTAGAGTAGGTCATTTCCTAACTGGAGGGTTGGCGGTTCAAATGCCAGCTTCTCCAGTCCACATGTAAAAGCGTTCTTGAGCTAGACACTGAGCCTCAAGTTGAAATTGGTGGCTGTGCCATCAGGGTGTGAATGCTTGTGTGCGAATGACTGCATGGAAAATAGTGTAAAGGACTTTGAGTGTGCTTCATTGCATAGACTATAAATACAAGACTATTAAAAAAAGCTTTGTCACTGAAAACAGCTGCCTGGGTCTAGAAGCCTTTAGAGCACAGTTGGCAAACAATGAGCTAAAAAAAATCTAAAAACCTTTATAGAGCTGAGGGGAACTGGAATTTCTTCAGATAAAAATCTAAATAGCGCAGCTTTAAATATTTGAAATACAGTGTTCCCTGTATTCAAACATGATCCCATGCAAGACTAGATAATGACTTCTCTAGTGTAGAGAATACAGAGAAAATAAAACACAGGACAAGCATGAGAAACGTTAAATAGATGCTCTCTGCACAAAACACCAAAAAAAGAACAAAATCGATGAGGAAAACCTATTCCATCCTTCCAACATCATAAAACAACTTTAGAAAAACACATTAAGCTAAAATACAGTGGTCAGTCTCACTCAGGTTTCAGGTTTGAATAAGAGTTTTCCTCAGAGCATGAGGGTCTGAGATGTCGAGCCTAGACACTTCTGCCTTTGTCGAACAGAAAGTGACACATTAGTTTCTCGAAAAACTTTTAAATTAAGTATATTTTAAAACAACCACAAAACATGAATTTTAGATACTATTAACATGAATCCTGAAAAAGGAACAAAGATTTCCCTGTAACTAAAAGGATAACCTTAACATTTTTGAAAGATTTTATCTATAAGATTTTAATGAATTTAATTTGAATTTAATAAAGTTATCCAGCTTTTTTTAGTAAAACAAAAACAAAAACATTACCCCCTTCTCCACAGGCTGGGATCGGTCCATGAGAATGTTGGACAGCTGGAGAAGCTGACTAGAAGATCTTTCACTAGGAGAGGGTTTGACCCTCTTGCCTAGCTGTTTCCCTCCAAAATGTTAATGTTTTCCTTATTACATAGCCATATGTTATTTAGCTTTTTATTTCATCTAAAACCAAAAAAATTAAACACATCACACTGGAAAAGTGCTATTATGTAAAATAAATGCATTCCTCACCCCTCTCAAATGGTTGCTCCCAGTCCTTATTTAATTTGAAATGAGTTGAACAGATTGAGAAGTATTGATTAAAGTTTAGTATTTAAATGTTGAAAACATGACCCTCAGGAAGTTCAAGCTGCCCCAGGAGCTGCTGATGCAGCTCTACAGAAGAATCATCGAGTCTGTTCTCTGCTCACCCATCACTATCTGGTTTGGTTCAGCAACCAACGGGCAGTCAGAATACTATACAGGGACATATTTTATGTTGATGAAAGTAACAATAAAAGCAGGGAACTATTAAACACAAGTTAGACCTAACACAATATATATCATATATGTGAGAAAAAAATTCTTACAATGTGTAACAGAGTTTGTTTATTATGTCACCAGGTAGAACAGCTACACTGACTACTACATTTGATTTGAAAGAACTGTGTCCTTTGTTTTTTAACTCTCCATGATGAGTCGCTGTTAAAAATGTCATTGTTTAGAGGGTGATAAGCTCCCCCATTTGGGTCTGATGAATTGGACCTGGAAGTGGAACATTATGTCACACTTTACAAGGGGATAAAAACCTACTGAAACATGTGGAGTCGAGTAAGGCTCGTCACAGGTTCTGTGTTCATTTCCACTGCGGCGCGTCTACTTTGGTGGTACTTTCCAGAAGCTGAATTTCAACATCCCTCAGGAGATAGTACTACATCCTGAGTACTTGTAATTGATTTTAGTACTTAATAAAATCATGCAGAGCTATTGGTTAAATATCTGCTTTGCACACCTCAAACATTAAAAGCAAGGTGTGTAAATACACTCACTGGCTGCAGGTAAAACAAAGACTTCACTCCTTGGTTTAGAGGCAAAATGGAGACTTCACTGAGTGGACCGCAGACAAAGCAGTGAAGACATCAAATTTCTGCTGCTCAACAGCTGTTTGATAAACTGCTCATACAGTCTCTGTGACTGGCTGATTGTTGCACTACGGTGTGATCCTTCAAGTCCTGTGTTCACCTGAGTGTGTGTGTGAGAGAGATAGATAGAGAGAGAGAAAAGAGTGCAACCCTCCTCTAAACAAAGACCAACACACTGAAAAATACAGTGGAAAAACAAAGGAGGGATCAAACTGGGAGGTGATGCCAGGTGACAGTGAAGGGAAGCGTGAGGTGAACCGCTGCTTAGGTTCAGACAGCGGAAATGCAGCTTAATTGTGTGGACTGTAGATGGGAGGGGAGGCCTTTAAATGAGTTTTTGCCATTATAGGAACGTACCCTACTGAAACTGTTGAACCAAGCAAGGATCATCATGGGTTCTACATTTGTTTCCACTATTGTGCCCTCACTTTGGAGGTGCATTCTGGGAGAGGGGTGCAGCCGATCTATATACAGAGACAATACAAAAAATAAAATTCATCCATTGTTTATACCGCTTATTCCTGAAGAGAGTTCCAGGGTCACTGGAGCCAATCCCAGCAGACACTGGGCAAGAGGTGACATACACCCTGGAGAGGTCACCAGACTATTAAAGACCTGATACATAGAGACAGACAACCACACACACTCCGAATTTAGAGTCACCAATAAACCCAATCTGCACATCTTTGGACAGTGGGAGAAACCAGAGTACCCGGAGAGAACATGCAAACTCCACTTAGAAAGACATCGGGTCGGTTGGGGCTTGAACCTGGATCCTTCTTGCTATGAGGTGACAGAGCTAACCACTGTGTCACTATGCCACCCCAAAAAAGAAAATATAGTGTAACAACAAAACAGGATAGTCCACGTCAACTCGGGAGGTAATGCAGGGTGAGGTACCGGGTATACTGCACATTAGGTTTCGATAGTGGAAATGCATTATAAGAGGCTTTTAGGAGCTCAGCCATGGGTGGTGCAGACACTGTGCAGCGGTGGACCTCCTGTCTGGATAATAATCCAACATATGAAGAAGGAAATCTGAGAATACAAATGCTTCCTCCAGCAGGAAATGATATTTCTCCACCAGAACATCATAAAGGCTCCAGAACCTCAGCAGGCCGACACGACGCAGGTCACCTGAGTGAAAACACACAGTGTTACACAAGTTGGCTCACAAGCAGCAATTATAAAAGTAAAAGTAAAATCATATTGCCCTACAAAGTCCAAAAAGACTTCAGTCATTTACAAAGCAAAGTTGGAGACTTACCTCTGCGGTTGAAGTACTGTGCAGAGTATTTTCCTGAGAAGGCAATAGCAGAAGGGATTTTACCGAGCAGCTGTATGATCTGGGCAATATGGTCTGAGGTGGGAGGGAGAGAACAAGAATGGGATGCACATTATCAAAACACCCTAGCATACACTGCACTAAAGCAGCCGATTACAATGCAGTGTAATGTCATTTAGCCTTTATTTGTCACACTTCTATCAGTGTTAGCACACTGTGCTAACTGTACCTTCCTCAAAGGAAACAGCCTCGCTGCCTTTGGGGTGAAACAGGGAGTCTCCAGTGACCAGTTCAAAGGCCTGGGAGAATAAGAGAAAATAAAGGGAGAGGTGTGTGATAAGGTAAGCACTCATACAGCTGGCCAATGCCAACTACAGATTGATACCTTGTGTTTTAATGTTGCCACAAACTGCTACAGCCTGAATTGTTGAACTACATGGCTGTAAGGATGGTAATGTCTGTCTGTAGGGTGAACCACCACTTTGAGACTAAATATCTCAACAACTGTTTGATGGATTGGCAGGAATTTTGAGAAGAGAGATCCATGCTGCCCTGAGCATTGAATCCCTACAACACTGATGACCTGCTGACCACCACCAGTAGGTCAAAGTTTTGACTTGTCCTGTGAAATATCTCCACATCCACTAGAAATTCAGTACAGATGTTCATGATATCAAGAGGATGAATCCTGATGAACATATTCTTCTCAAACTACATGTACAAGTACAAAGAACGTGATACTGACACATACACCGCTTAATGACATGATAATACAGGTTACCAAATACTTTTATTTTGACACCCCTCTGGCCAGTTATTACATTTACTTAACCAGAACTGCTAACAATCAAAAACTAACTTTAATGAAACATGTAGTGCTCTTTGAAATTATAAAAGTTACTTGTGGTGTGGGGTTCCTCAAGGCTCCCATTATTTTTGATTCTGGACATAAACGCTGGTACAATTTATGTTGTTTGCAGATAATACAAATTTATTTCATTCTGGTAACATTTTGAAACAACTGTTTGATTACGTAGAAAAGAACTGAAACATATAAAGGGATGTAAAAATCAAACATTTCTGAGTGATTAAAAATAATTTATGCTGGAAACGGTATGTAAATCATGTCAAAGCAGAAATCTAAAAATCTATAGCAACACTGCATAAAATGAAGGACTTCTTAAATAAAGCTTGGTTATGTACTTTGTATTTTTCACTTATGCTTCTATACATCATTTCTGTGTGTTTATACATGTGGAAAAACAAAACAAATCTATCTCATTTTTACACTTACATAAGCTATAACTCACCCAATGTTTGTTGAATTAAAGGCTCTAAAATTCAGAGGTTAGGTAGATTTTATTTAATTAGCAATACAAGCTCACTGAGTCACTAGTGTGGCTTGTTTATGACAAAAGCTGCTATAGACTCCATCATGAAAGGACTTTTTCTTACTTTGTGGTGGACAGAGACACAGGTAATCATAGCATCTGTATTGTATTAAAATTTCTAATGTTGCTCTTGGGTAAACATTTAAAGACCTAACAGTCATGGTATAAATTGACCCACAGGTTGGACATGGAGTTTAAGTTCTTGCTGTGCATCCAACTTATTTTATATAGTGGTACCACCATAAAAACACAGTGTGTTGGGTTTATATATTTCACACAGTGTAAGCATACTGTCGGGTGTTTCCCCTCACCATGCAGGCGACACTCCAGATGTCAGCAGGAGGGCCGTACTCAGATCCTAGTAAAACCTCAAGTGAGCGATACTGACGGGTCTGGATCTCCTCGCAGAAATGTTTGTACTGCTCCAAGAAAAAGAAACAGAGAAAAAAAAACTTTTTAGCATCTTTTTTTGTTTGTTTGTTTTTTTAAGGCTGTTATGTGCAACAAATTTGAACTTCTACTTTTTAAAGAGTACATTTTCAGGCAGCATACATGAATAGTTTATTCTGTAAAGGTAAATGATTTTAATATGGCTGAAAAATCAAGCTGTACTGGAATTAAGAGGCATTGTCACCTTTGACAAAGATCAGTGGGAGTGACCCAGAACAGTAAAGCTGTGGGCTGGACAGCTAAACAATAAACTGAGACTCACTATAAAGATTCACATCACAATCTTGATCAACTCCTGATATTAGCATAACGCTAGTGGATTAACAGATATTAGCTTGCACTTTATTTTGACAATTTTCTTGAAATTCCTTAAAAATTTGAATTGCTTTTGGACAGAAACCTGGTTACTGTCACATTGCTTTTAAATTATCATTAAATGAAAAATTTAAAAAAGGTTACTATATCTGCTAAGGTTGTAAAGATGTTTTCAGGAGCTTTTAGATGCATATGAGGCCAAATGCCTTGTAAAAAATGGATCCTTCCTGTATGTCAGCTGATAAAAATAATTCAAACAAATTCACCACAAGGTTGATGTAATATAATGTAACCTAGAGCTTTACACTGGCTGTGTGTAAAGTACAGAGCACTACTGACCACCCAGCAGCTGCTGCCCAGGTCAGCGATCTTCACTGTAATTTCCTTTAAAGGGCATGGGGTCACCTGCTCCATCTCTGAAACAAACAAATATAACAGTCATTAAAACATCTTATACATCCCATTCAAATATTGAACAGTTGGTTTTGTCCATTTTTGATAATTTGGATATGATGCATTTGGTTTTTCTTATATCTTTTCAGTTTTTAATTTACATATCAGTATAACAAATGTGTTTGCCTCTAGTTAAAATTCATCATGAACCTTAGTTGTGAGCAGAGCAGAGATTCTATGTTAAAAGCCTGTCATTAGCACACAAGCAGGCTACATCTGCTTTGTACACACACTCAGCTATAAACTGCCCAGCTTTGAGAGTTCATTCTTAAACAATCTCCAGCATCTGTAGCAAGCAAACAAACAAACAAAACTCATGCCTGTGGACTTGGCCTCCTTCCCAGTCAGCTTAGAGGGCCAATGGCCGCCCCCTGCTGGTACTTTGTGGGATGGCTCCTTTAGACACAGCAGGATGTTCTCTGGTTTGATGTCTGTGTGGATGATTTTACACAGAGTGTGAAGGTAGTCCAGGCCTTGCAGAACCTAGAGAAAACACAGAGCTGTTACAGTATGTGTGTCATGCCACCAGCTAGGGGTAGTTGCTGTCACTTTCCACTGGAGCTCTTTTACAGGGATGTTCAAGAAGCAAATTGATAGGCATTAATAGGCAATAAAGTGGCATTTAATAGCAAAATATTTAACAAAAGGCAAAGAAATGTCATACCAAATAATTACCAAACAGCAATTTAAAATATTGCCTCCTTATATCCATGTAGATGCACAGAAACACCCCTAAGTACAACAAATTAAATAAAATGTTCAGACCAGTTTCTAATACAGTGCCTCTCACTGCTAAGAGAGCCTCATGATACAAACCTGTCGCCCCCATCTCTAATTAAGCAGCTGATTATCATGGGCAGAGCAATGAAAAAAGTCAAACACATCCCAAAAGTAAACCCACAGGAAATAACACAAACCAGCTAAGTTGTCATCTGCGTAATGTGAATCAGACTGACAAAAAAAGGGCTGCATATAATGTTTTATCAAACCCCCACTGCTGATGTAGGGGAACAGGGTCTAGTGACAAGGAGATGAATAACCTTTTCACAGTGTGAAACTCAGAATGTTGGCTGGAGGGAATGGTTTGACATTTGGGAGGTTATGCTTATTCACTTTCTTGCAGAAGCTATTGCCCTCTGTTGATTAGCTTAGCCTAGCATAAGGACTGGAAACAAAGAATAACAGCCAGCGTGGCTCAGTTCAAAGTTTAATAACCACCAACGAGCAGCTCTGAAGCTCACAAGATGTACACACTTCATCTGGTAAACCAACTGAAATGTAATAATGATAGAGCCAGGTTAATAAACTATTGTGGCTTTCAGTGATTCTTCCATATTATAAAATATTAATGTGAATATGCAAACAGCATCCAAAATGGACCCAGTTCTTTCAGTGAAATGCAGAAACCATTTCCTATAAACCTAATCCCTGCGGCTAATTTAAGGGTGAGTTCATTAAAATGTATTTATTTTTGTTTTCTACTAATAACTTGTGCTTTACCTGAGTAAGAATTTGTTTGACCCATGGCCGCGACAGCCCTGGATTCCCAAAGTATAGCCGCCATTTTCTCAGATCAGGCCCAAGCAGCTCAAGTACCAGACACATATCTAATCACCCGGCATTAAGGACAGTCTTACAAACCAAACCAAACCAATTCACTGAGCCAATACTGCAAACTGAATGCAATCAACACCTTATCTGTTGTTGCATCACTGAAATCAATGTTCCATTAGAGCTTGCAGAGGCAAATATAAATAATACATTTACTTTAAACTATGATATCAACAGTTTGACTTATGAATAGTAGTGGTTCATTTGGACAAACACATATACACAGCTCCATACATATACTGCCAGGTTTAGAATGGCTGTAAAAGACATGACAGTTTGTGAAAAAGATATGGACTCCATTGACCCCGGCCAGCTTGAACTCATCTAGCAGCTGAACAACCCTGTGGCTGGAGGGATGACGACTGATAGGACCACAGGCCTGATGAAAAAGAGGAGAGCAGGGGAGTAATGAAAGTAAAAAGGAGATGAAGGCAGACAAATATAGATGAAAACATGAGAAAATAAGAAGAGAGCTGCATTTATGTATTAGCATGTACAAAAAGAAAGATACTGGAAATTGTGAACAAACAACATAAAATTTAAAGAAATGACATTTCATAGGAAGTGTAAGACATGTTAGAGAGCAGAAGCACCACCAAAAGGTCACTAACACATCGTAGGAGAGCCAGTTCGTCCTGCCCTGCCTGGGTGAAG